GCCCCTCCCAGGCCCCGGCCTGCAGGCGGGCCTGACCTCTCCCGCTCTCCCTGCTGGGCCCACCATTCCGGTCTGCAGGGATGGCTGTGACAGCCCCTGCCTCCAGTCTGGACTCCCCCAGCCACCGTCCCCAGAGCCGGAGGAACTTTCTAAAATACAAAGCTGCGAAAAGCCCTCCGTGGCCCCCGCTGCTCTCCCGTGGAGCCCACACAGTGAGGCCACAAGGCCAGCCCTGCCTGGCTCGGTGCGGGGAGCATGTGCCTATCAGGGCCGCCTCAGGCAGCTAGGCTCACACTGGGCTCTTGCAGGTGACAGCTGGCGCCCTCCCTGGTGCTGCCTGCCTACGGGCCCCTCCGCACCCTCTCCCCGGGTCCTCCTCCGAGCCCCGCCATCAAACGCGACCCACCCGCGCCTCTGGCCCACCACTCCTGCCTGTGCCCAGTCACCACCCTGCCTCCCACCCCAGCGGGCTCGTCCTGGGGTCGGACAGGATAAAGCAGAGACAGGGCCAGCGCTCTCAGCTGAGGGTGGCTGGTGGCTGTGCCATTTCAGTACTTTTGAGGAAACAGAACAGTCTTAACTATCTACATTTCTAACTGGAGAGACTGGGCTGCAGGACTCAGGTGTGGGCAAGCTCTCGGGCTGTGTGGGTGGGACACCTGGCGGCGGCCAGGTGCCTCACCAGTTTATCAAGGGAGGCACAAGCTGTTAACTCCACAAGGTGCCCTGAAGTGATATTTTGGCAAAGAGCTGTCATCCCTCGTCCGGCTGGCAGAGTAGGAGCCGTGGGCTGGTCAGGGACAGTCGGCTCTGCTGATGCGCAGGGGGAGATCCCAGGTGTGTGGGAGGAGGACAGGTCACCAAAGGGCGGGCACCCGGCCCGCCTTCGCTGTGTCTCAGTGTGCCCTGGGCACAGCGCGACCGCAGCCCTCACCCTCCCAACTCTGGGGACGGGGGAGGGGAGTGGGCGTCGCCGGGTCTTCCCTGCTTCCAGCTTTCGCTCTGCCCCGTCCCTCCGCAGGGACCCCGCCCCCAAGCGCACCCACGCACCGCCGTCGGT